TAGATATATTCTTGTTTTTTGAACGAATTCTTCATAAAGATATTATTTTCAAATGTTTTGTAGATTTTACACAAAATATTTACGGAAAAGAAGGTATTTAAATAAATTGTATTTTTAAAAGGGCATAACTCTCAAAACCGTTACATGCAAATCAGGTATTTAGAAATAATTAGAAATATTTCATTTACATTAGCAGTTTACAACTCTATTCTTCCAATACATTTGAAAGACATTTTTTAAAATGTAAATCAACCAAATTTCTTCAAATGTTTTTTTCAAAACAGTGTTTCAGACTTTCTGCAGAACTGTGTATTTCGGTAAAAAGTCGTCTCCTCGTCACTTCCGTTCATTAAGCAGAAACGCTGACTGTAGCCTGAAATCCTTTTGGAAAACTGACCATAACGACTGTTAAAGTGCCTTAACCTTCATGAGAGTTGGTGGTTAATGAAAAGAAGATTCAATTTACAATATGAGTTGTTGATTTTAGGGCTTTGTTTAGATTTATGAGACGATTCAACCAAAATTCTCGACAGTGCCTCTCGGTTTGCAGACGAAGTTGGCAACCTTGTTAATTTATATATAGAGAGTGGGGTAGAAAATTTTATAAAATGTTTATTTAAGCAAATTGTCTGAATGGATAGGATAGATTATATCACAAATGTGTCATCCATATATAATTTATGTGAAAAAAGTCTAACAGGCCCGGGAGTCTATATTGCGGGGGGGGGGGGGGGGGGGGTCCTGTCCTCAAGCACCTGTGATTTATCAGAGTCATTTATTAAACTAATATTTCAGCCAGTTTCAAAACTTTTGATGTCATTACATTTTTAGGGCGCAATAAAGTTAAAACCATACCTTCTTCTTTGTACTAACTTCTTTAGTGAGCATTTTAAAATCGCTAAAATTACTTGCTACTTTTAAGATAATTTTGAAATATGAATATCAGGAAATCTATTTTACATTAAATGTACAATAAAGAAATATCTTAATGAAGATATCTGAGGAATTATTGCTCTTGTCACAATTTTTTGAAAGAGCGAATAATTAACTAAATAATAAAAAAAAAAAATTAAGTTCTAATATTTATTAATACTTATCATTACACCTATTGAAAATCCTTTAAAAAAAAAAGAAAAAAAACTTTGTTCTTTTGGGTATGAATTTAAATTAAGAACAGTTTTTGCAAAAACCTATGACATCATAGGAGGATGGAAATACCTTAATCTTCAGGTGTTTCATGATCTCGGGACCTGCATTATTTTATTTTGCTGCGTTCTTACACTTTGCGTTGAAATCAACACAGAATGTAATAGCACAAAATGTAACAACACACTTTTGAGGATACACGTAACACAAAATGTTAAAGCGAGCGCAGCGAGCGTCGCGAAGCGACGCTCATCACTGCGAGCTCTTAAAGCAACGCCTGTGCGAAGAGAAAATTCGGACTACTGCACATTCATTCGATGGAATTTTTTGACGCCGCAATTTCGACCCACAATGCAACACTTGTTAAGTTGCGTTCTCGTGAGAATTAAAATAAAAGTTTACAAACATACAACAAAAACTCACTTCATCTTAATTTAGCACGAGAGTTATATCAATCATTATGTACGACCTGACTGTGTAACCTCGAAGAAAAATTGCAATTGACCTGTGACGTCATCACCATCATCATCAACAGTACTGAGGTTCTCGGGGGTCGAACGAGAACTCGGGGAATTAATTTAAAAATAGGATACTTATTTACAACACTTGAACACTTTATTTTATCAAATAATAAATAGTTTTAAATATATATTATTCCATTTATTTTTTTTTTTAATTTTCATTTCTTATTTGTTATTCAGCACACCTCGCTAATTTCCTTTTTTAATTAAGGTAACTGACCGAGGTTTTCTTTTATAAAATAATATTTTCGTCTGCTAGAGAATCTTGTTGAATGTAAACATACCTCTTATCATCAGAAGTGGAAAAAAATAAGAAAAGGTGATAAGTATAGAGTAACACTGATTTTTAATCAAGATTTTGGCATTACAATTTTCACATAAACATTGGTAAAGTGTCAGGTATCAGCAAATAATCAGGTATCAAAATGAATCAAAGTGCAATGAATTCTAGAAGAGTTGGCACTATCATTGCTGGCCAAAAGTTTTATGTGCACAATGTTCCTGGGGATGGAAATTGCTTTTTTCATTGCTTAAGCCTTGCTTTACATAACAATTTAAGCATGACCAGTACTTACAGGCAAGAAATTTGTAATTACATTCTGAAACACTGGGAGAATTTCCAAAACAATACTGAAATTCAACAGCATTCTTCCTTATCATACTTTTAACAAATGATACTTGGGAATGATTATGCTTCTTCTTGTGAAGTTGAAGTTGCTGCGTCATTACTTAAATGCCAAATCAATGTATGGCTTGAATGTATAAATGGTAAAAATATGACATCTCATATGCTCTCAACCTTTTTCCCGTACAGACTATCCACCAATCAATTTGCTACTAAAAAATCAACACTTTCAGTACTTGACACCTGTTGTATCTGGATCACAAAATAGCAAGTCAAATAAAAAATCTCTCAAAAATGCTGAAACTCAGTCTGCTCATTCATCATCTGCACAACAAATAAAATCATCCAGACCTCCCAACACTCAAAACCCTGAGTGTATTAAAAATAACATTTCTTCTGACCACAATTATGCAGAATCAGATGTCCAAAATTTGAAATTACATGCGCATTTAGATTCTGAACAAAATCAGACATGCAAGCAAAAAATACAACAAGATCTTGAGAGCGTTGAAAACAATATTTCTTCTGAACACAATTATGCAAATTTCAAACATAATTACAATAACAACAGTCAGTCTGAGCAAAATCTATTCTTTGACCATTCCTATGCACAGTCTACATGTACAAGTCAAAATCATGAAAGTTTTCATTTACAAAGCCCAACAGTGGTTGAAAAAAATTCTGAACCATCTAGAAAACGTCAAATCCAACAAAATTTGCATTTCACATCAGCCAAAAAAATTAAACATGCACCTGAACAGGAGAGAAAACTTCAAGAACTGTGTAGAAAATATGGTGTTAAATATGAAATGCCTGCAGAAAATGAAACTTATGTTAAATTCAAATCACGAAGATTAAAACTGCAAAGGCAAATCAGAAGCATCATACAAAAATACAAATTAAATGAAACAGAAATTCCCCCACCTCCCCCTCAAAGTGACAATACAAAATATGATAATGCCATGGATTCCATTAGAGCCTTTGAACTGCAACAGATGTCCTATAACTTTCAATTTTGTACTATCTGTAAAGAAAGAAGATTTGAAACAAAAATGTCTTCTGATCAAATTTGCACACGTTGTCATCATGATAAAAATGAAATAAAATTATTATTATCTGAAAACAATATGGACCCAGGCAAATTACCTGAGGAATTGCAAGAACTTACAATTATTGAACAACAACTAATTAGTAGACTCTCCCCTTGCATTAATGTCCATATGCTTAATCATGGCGGCATTGCTTCATCAGGTCATTGTGTTACCTTTCCCCAAGAAATAAATGAGCCTGCTAGGATTTTTCCAAGACTCCCTCAAGAAATACAAATTATCAAAGTTAAAAAACAAGGGAAAAATGATACATGCAGAGAATTCAGAGTCCGTCGTTTCAGAGTTGAAAAAGCTTTAAAATGGCTTAAATCTAATAACCCCGCTTACAGTGACATAATTATTAGTCTCGATAGATTACAACATCTTCCAGAGGATGGTGAGTTATCAGATATTACAACATTACAGTTTAAAGAAAAGACCCCCCCACAATAATGACACAAGTCCTGCATCTGAACAAATTGATATTGGTGTTTCTGAGGGTACCTCATACTCTGCTGCACACCTACCTGATTAAATATATGTGTTAAGGAAAAAGTACAAAAAATTGTGCAAGAGATTGTAGGGGAAAATAATGCGGAAGTTTCCATTAACAGACAGGGAACGGTATCCATTCCTTGGCCAACAAGAGGCAATATTCCTGTTTCTGAATTCACTACTCAGCATTTTTTTACTCTTGCTTTCCCTGCCCTTTTTCCTTATGGGTCTGGTGACTTTTATATTAACAGACCTATTTCTTTAACATCAATGAGTGATTGGGCTGAGCACTTACTATGGTACGATGATGGCAGATTTGCCAAACATCCATATTTTAAATTTGTTGTTCATAATATGATCATGAGAAAAAATGCCCTTGAAAATAGCAGTTACATAATAAGGCAAAAACTTGGAGAGAATCATTTCACAATAAGTGATCTCAAAAATCTTGTTGAAAATGGTGACACATCAGTTAGTAAAAATTTTTTGTATTTTGGTGGTGTTTTAAGGGGTACAACACAATACTGGGGGCAAAGGGCAAAAGAATTACGATCACTTGTTCAGTACAAAATAAATGAAGGTATGGGTCTGCCATCTTTTTTTACTACAGGTAGTTGTGCAGAATTTCACTTTAAACCTCTTAGGAGATTATTATCTATGTATGTCTTTCAAACAACTGGCTCATCAATAGATCTGACAGACAAAAATGTACTATTTAAAACGCTTCAAAAACACACACATTTAGTTGAGAAATACTTTGACTTCAGAACACAATCATATTTTCAAAATGTCATGGGTCCTGTCTTTGGTGTTGACTCTATTGGTACAGACAAGAGTTTGTTAAGTCAAGAGGTATGGTTCACTGGCATGGTCTTTGTTGGAGATCAGATCGAGAGCCTCATAATCTTTTGCACAATGCCATCTCAGCTGGTCTTTCAGATGAAGAGTGTGCTGAAAAACTATCTGAATGGGCTAGTGAAAATTTTGGTCTCACAGCTATTCATCCAGCTGGTAAGGATGAAAATGGTAGTTCAAATAAAAATTTGTGACCTCCACCAGAGGGTACTGCTCCTCCTCCTCCTGAAGAAAATAATCCCCTATTCAAACTTTTGATGGATGTCTAGAGGATCATTTACTTCTATCCAACCGTTTTAATTTACACCGTTGTTCAGATTATTGCATGAAACCTTCAAAATTCAATGCATCTGGAGAAAAATGTAGAATGGAATTTCCGAAACAGCTACGATCCACCCCAGCTTTGGTTAAAGACAGGAATGGGTCTCTGCGACTTGAAATGGAGAGAGATCATCCAGTTCTTGTGCAACATTCCAAATTTCATACACAAAGCTGGAGAGCCAATGGCGACATTTCATTAATTCTTTCTAAAAGCGATCCATCTAATCCATCTGTAGACGAAATTCTTGCCACAGAAAAATATATAACAGGGTATGCCTGCAAAGGGAACGAACCAACCAACTGAACGAACCAACTGGTGCTCTTTCTGATCTTTTTTCTGACATGGTGAACAATTCTGATGAATCCTCAGGTGAAACACCGAAATCACTCTGTACTAAACTTCTTATGAATACTGTTAAGAGAGACGTTTCTTCTGTTGAAGCCTGTTTTGAGCTATCCTCAATACCCCTGTTCCGTTCAAGTCACTCTTTTCAATATGTGAGTTTATCTGGTTGTAGAGTACTTCAGCAATCTGGAATGAACACATTAACCAAAAATACCATCATTGATAAATATCTCTCTAGACATGAAAATGATCATTCATCTATCAATTTATTTCCAAAAATGGAAAAGTTCCTGTAATAAATGGTCCAACACAAGCTTTTTGGCCTTTAGAGGAAGATCACTGCAGAACAACTCTTATTTTACATTTTCCAAATTGGAGAAGTTTTTCAGATATAAAAGACAATGAAACAACTTGGATAGAAAAGTTTACAATCTTTTTAGAATCAGAAAGTTGTCCTAATTTTGTTAAAGCAGATGTTCAGCAGGCTAAAGAAAAAAAAATCTTACAATTGCTCACAAGAAGAAGATTGTTCAGATGACAATGTGGTCCAACCAGAATGGATGGAAGTTCTTCGTCCAAATCCAAACTTTGATGACTTGCATCAAAATTTTACTTTTGATGATGGAGGTCCTGACCATGATTGGAGTACTACAACAAACAAATATCCAGATGACCTTGGTGAAGAATGGTGGAATAGCATTACAAAATCCAATGAAGAAAATGAAAGTCTAAAAATACCTCGTCAACTTGGACAGTATGAATGAGGACCAGTTATTGGCATTTAAAATAGTCATGAGAACACTTTTGAACTTTTCAAACCAATCCGATAATTATAAGCCACTTAGAATGGTTGTTTGTGGTTCTGCGGGGTCTGGGAAATCTTTTCTCATTAAATGTCTTGTCAGAGCAATTTGTTTATTCTTTAATTCTAATAAAGCTGTTCAAGTATTGTGTCCTACAGGCAATAGTGCTAATTTGATTTCAGGAGTTACTCTCCATAGTTTTCTAAAAATACCTACCCTTCAGAGAGGAGGAGAAATGAAGGCACCAGATGGGTCGTTAGGGGAGGATCTGCAAGTTAACTGCTCTGGAATTCATGCCATTCTTGTTGATGAACGATCTTTAATTGGATCAACTACACTTGGATGGATGGATTTTCATTGCAGATGTGGCACTGGTATATCAGACCAGACATGGGGTGGTATTCCCGTTGTAGTTTTTTTTGGAGATGATGTACAACTTCCACCAGTCTTAGATTCCCCTGTAAATTATTCGAAGGGTAAATCCCCAGCTTCTATGCATGGTGTTTTAGTTTGGCAAGAATTCAAAACTGCTGTTTTTTTAAAGAAAATCATTCGGCAAGGGGAGCACGAAAAAGAATTAAAAGATGTCCTTTCATGTCTTCGTGAGTACAAAGCAACTCTTTGTCAGGCCCAGTGGTTGCAGCAATTTCAATGGAACAACCTGAAAAAATTCACATGGTGAAGAATTATTAGAAAGAATATCAGAAAAAGGCCTTTTTATTTTCCCAACACATGATGAAGAATGGCAACATAATGCAACAAAATTGTACGAATTGAATAAAGAATTCCCAGTAGCAAAAATTATTTCAATATCAAAAGGGGTGCATTCTAAGACTGGTGGAAGTGAAAATGCTGGTGGTCTTCTAAATACTGTATACATTTGCAAAAATTCCAAAGTTATGATTTCAGTGAATTTGTGTGTAAAATTTGGACTTTTCAATGGTGCAGTTGGCACTGTTGAAGATATTCTTTATTTACATGGTAGAAAACCCCCTGCACTTCCTGATGTTGTCATGGTTGAAGTACCAAATTACAGTGGTCCACCCTTCATACCTACTAAACCCAAAGTTATACCAATATTTCCAGTAGAAGGAAAAACAGATTGTCGGTGTCGTTTCTGTAAACGAAAGCAAATTCCTTTACGACTGGGATGGGCGACAACAATTCATCGGTGCCAGGGAATGACAATTGGGGAGGGGGAGGTAAATAGATGTATAGTAATTCATCCTGGGACAAGGGCTTTTGAATCTAGAAATCCTGGTGCTCTGTTTGTAGCCTTGTCACGCGCAAAATCTACAGGAATAAATAAATCTGATCCTGATTTTGCTTGGCATCCGTCTTTTCTAGCCAACGCAGATAGAATATGTCACAAAGTTAACACACCAACTACAACAGCCAGAGACAGGGAGATTAAAAGAATTGAGACCTTTGCCAAAGAAACCATTCTAAATTTTCAGCACTTAAAAGAGGATACAGAATTAACAAAATTGATACTTGATCTTAATTCATCAGGCACTATAGAGGAATAATTCTTTTCTTCATTGCTTTCTGAAATGTTCCCTTGCTTGCGCTTACAGAAATGATACTTACAATCTATTTCCCTACCCCATTTGACCTCCTCACCTGTTCAAATTATCTTTTTATTTACATATAATGGTGGGGGACACACCAGTCTCTAACTGTTTACTGTAATTTTCTATGGTAATCATATGTTTATTCACCTTGGTAAAAGCATACAAGGTTCCAATTAACTTGTTCTGCAATGCATGTTGAAATTTTCTCTGTCTCTATAAAGGGATTATACTTTCTATGTCTACATTTGAAAACTTTCAAATTGTATATTTTAACCCCTCCCTCCCTCTCCATCTGACCTCTTCATCTGTTTAAATTACCTTTCTATTTACACTCAATGGTGGGGGACATATCAGTCTCTAACTGTTTGATGTAAATTTATAGTTCAGTTTTTTTTTGGTAATTGGTTTACAGATTGTGTAATGCCGTGCTAAGATTCTTTCTGTTCAATACAATGATACTAATGTGCCATCTGGGATAAAATATAAATGGAGGCCACAAATCCCTGCTTACAACATTCATTTATTTCTATTCAGACTTGTGACATCTTGTTTCTTTTAATGAAATACTCTTACTTCTTATTGGTATCTTGTTGTATGTCAAATTTGTATTTCTTACCTATTTGCTAGTACATATTGGAGACCATGCCATATTTCTTGTTTACTGCCATTTGACATCAAAAACCTTTCCCTTTTTATGCTACCTGCAACATCAACACCAGACTTTTTAGTTTCCGCTGACTGCATTCATTATCATGATTATACCCACACAATATTTTTTTAAAAAGTTTCATTTTCAATTTATAAAGCATCTGGCCCCAGGATCATGAAACAGACTCAGACTTAAGTGAAATTTTCAATCAACTGTAAAATGTTTATTAATTATTGAATTGATCTAAAAATTTGCAAGTAACAACATTTTTATGAATCAAAATTAAAACATATTTCAATTTTGATCTGTTTGCCGTCTATAAAATTTAAATACAGCATGAAAATTTTGACTTGAGCTTAAGATGTTTTATGATCCCGAGGCCTGTAGTCTTTATGTAATTATATGGAATATTTTTTAAATCCCTAAATATTATATACTAGTAATTTACTGGTGTTTTAACTTATTAACAATGAATGGCGGCCTCTGTCTCTCTCTGCATGTGAAGGATCTGCTCTACAGGCATCGGGTACTGTTAAATTTAAATTGTGTTATTGATCTTTGCTGGCATTTCGTTAGCTTCTGTTATGGGTCAGAATAATCCTAAATGCCAGCAAAGATCAATAACACAATTTAAACTTAACAATAATTTATTTACAGTAATATATAATAAGTATATGAAACATAAAGTACAAACTTAGCAAGAATCTAAGAATACATACATCAGAGTGTCCGTTGCTTCACACAATGTCCCAGTGAAAATATATCCCAGTTATATCTCAATAGTGCTTATACGACAAAGTATCCACAATTATTGTATATGCATTGAATTGACAGGGTATTTATACAGTATTATAAATCTAGAATATTCTAGAAAATGTTAAAACATGATATTACTGGAACAATCTGGACATACACAAAATTTAAGAATGTTCTAGATAAAATGACCGAACATGTTGACCACTCTGGAACGTTCAAGAAACTTAATGTTACTAATTATATACATAATGAAACAATACACATCTCACAACACCTCCCCCCTTAAAAAGTTTGAATGTCAATGAAAACTTATTATTAAAATAAAAGTTTTGTACATTAATACAAAATCTAGTATGTTTACGATACTCTTGACAAGGCGTCTGCAATAACATTGTCTTTGCCTTTGATATGCTTAATTGTTATGTTGTATTCTTGTAACAACAAACTCCATCTAGTCAGTCTTTGATTCTTATTTGACAATTTATGCAAAAATGTCAGGGGATTGTGATCCGTATATACAAGAATTGGATGCAAAGTAACATTCAGATAAACATCAAAATGCTGTTAGGCTAACAACAAAGTAAGGCATTCCTTTTCAATGGTGGAATACTTTTGTTGACATTTTGTAAGTTTCTTTGAAAAATAAGAAACAACTCTATCTACCTTATCACTATGTTCTTGAAACAAAGCTGCCCCGATTCCAACATCACTAGCGTCAACAGTAAGCTTAAATTGCTTAGAAAAATCTGGAGTTGACAGAACTCAGGGTTGCTCATAAGGACAGATTTGATTTTATGAAAGGATTTTTCACAGTCCTTTGTCCATTCAAAGTTAACCCTCTTTTGTAAAAGATTTGTAAGTGGACTAACAACTGAGGAAAAATTTGGACAAAATTTTCTGTAAAACCCAGCCATGCCCAAAAACCTCATTAATTCTTTCTTGTTTGTAGGAATCGGGATCTTTGCAATAGCTTCCACTTTAGCCATAATGGGTGTAACATAACCTTGACCTACTTTATGACCTAAATACTCTACATAGGCATGACAAAATTCGCTCTTCTCAAGGTTCACAGTTAAGTTTGCTTTAGCTAAAATGTCAAATAAAGCACGCATGATTCGGAGATGTTCGTCCCATGTGTTGCTGTATATGACGACATCATCGTAGGCCTCGCATCCCTCAAGGTCTTGAAGAAGGGAGTGAATCATTCTTTGGAAAGTAGCCGGTGCGTTTTTCATGCCAAAAGGCATTACTTTATACTGGTAAAGTCCATCTGGTGTAGCAAAAGCAGATATTTCTTTTGCTCTTTCTGTTAACGGTACTTGCCAGTAGCCTTTCAACAGGTCAAATTTACTGACAAATTTCGCGTTTCCAATGTTGTCAATACAGTCATCGATTCTAGGTATTGGATATGAATCAGTTTTGGTAACAGAATTCACCTTTCTAAAGTCTGTACATAATCGGTACGAACCGTCCTGTTTTGGTACAAGAATACACGGTGAGCTCCAATCACTTTTACTAGGTTCAACAATGTCATTGTCCAACATGTACTGCACTTCCCTTCTTAGGTACTGCAATTTTATTGGATTCAGGCGGTACGGATGTTGTTTGATAGGCAGAACGTCACTCACTATGACATCATGACAAGCTGCATTAGTTTTCTTTGGAACATCCGAAAAGATTTGATGATACTCATTCATCAAGTTTTTAACTTGTTCTTTTTGGTGAATGTTCAAATGTCCAAGTTTGGCATCAAAATCAGCCAAAATTTCTGAATTTTTCAAGCGGACACTCTGATTACAATCTTTCTCATTCATTTCTACATTTGTATCACTTTCAATACAATTTTGAACAGTCTTAGCATTGGCTAAAGTGGAAACTGGTTTTACAGAATTTCGGTCACACCTTTCAAAATACTCTTTTAACATGTTAATGTGACAAACCTGTTTCTCTTTACGTCGACCTGGTGTCTTAACTACATAGTTTACATCACTGATCTTGCTTTCAATTTCATAAGGGCCATAAAATCTGGCCTGTAAAGGATGACCAGGAATAGGTAAAAATACAAGAACCTTATCACCTGGCTTAAACACCCTATTTCTGGCATCTTTGTCATACCACATTTTCATTTTCATCTGAGAACTCTTCAAATTTTCTTGTGCTAATTTACAAGCATTGTAAAGTTTTTCTTTGAAATCAGACACATAATCTAAAAGATTAAGATCATTAGTCTCAGTCAGCCACTTTTCCTTTAACAATTTCAAAGGACCTCTAACCGTATGACCGAACACCAATTCAAAGGGACTGAACCTAAGAGACTCCTGGACTGCTTCTCGTGCAGCAAATAGCACAAGATGAACCCCTTCATCCCAGTCTTTCTCATACTGGTAACAATAGGTCTTAAGCATTGTTTTTAGGGTTTGATGAAAACGTTCTAGCGCTCCCTGGTAGGGCTGTCACGGTTCCAAAATTTTTCGGGTCGGGTCGGTTCTGATTTTTTGAGGTTCGGTTTCGGGTTTCTCGGGTCGGGTAGGTAATGGAAGAAAAGCTCATGATTTGTATTATTTTCAGCAATAAAAAGAATATTCTCATTTAATCTTAGAAATTGCAACATTATAACTAGTTTAAAGACTAGCCTCCTGACTAGACAACAACTGTACCAAATTATTTTTAAATCACCTTTCAGGGTTTCAGATTGAAATAAGTAACTACAGGACATCTGGCATATTTACCAGAAAAGTTATAGGCCATTCTGTCCTAAACTTCCTAAAATTATAGGCCAATAGAAAAGTTAAACTAACTCAGATTTCTGTCAGACTTTTACAAAAACAGTCATTTTATTACATAAAATATTCAAACTTGTATATTAATTTTCCTTTTAATAAGGTGGAAATATTATTTTGTTTCTTTTAAACAAAATCAATATATTGAAACAGAATGGGAATTGTTTGTTTTTTTTATTCCATTCAATGGGTATTTAACTTATATTAGTCCCACCTTTCATTACATGTAAATGTATTTATTTCTTGGGATTAAAATTTTTAAAAATAGTAATCCAAAAATTAGACTTGTATCTCTGATGATATTCAATGTATAATTACGTTTAAAGATTACCTAGACTATTTTTTTCCCTTAGTAAAACCTTGCAACATTGTCCGTTTCCTGCTATTAGTCCGACCCCATATTCAATGGGTAACACGAATCACCGGAATGCCCCGTAATCACCGAAATGCCCCACAAAACCACCGAAATCCCTTACATAAGTTTTTACATGATGTTTTTCATAAAAATTAATGCTTATTTTATTCAGTAAAGCATAACTGACGGTAAAATTAATTATTTTCATGTTTTGTGCTCGAAGCGTATCGTACTTCAAAGGGCGATAACTCGTATTTGGTGATGACCTAGGAAGTGAAGTCTACAATGTTTAAAATCTAAGAAATAATAATGTCTTATGGTATTTCTCGGAGAAAATTAGATGACAAATGATAACTATGATAAAAGAAAAAAATGTGACTTTCTTCTTTCTTCCTTTTCTTCCAAATTTTTGCATTGTGAACCAGGTTGTAACATTTATTCGTCTGCAGACGCCTGCTGGGGTAAAATAGGCGTAGCGTTAAAATATATATACCTGCCATTATTCATTGAGTAAATTTATCTTTTATTGTATATATTTACTTTTCAGACCATAAAGTTAACGTTTTACCAAACAAAACGAGAGGGGGTACCGGTACACCAAATTTCCGTGATAATTTACGACCGCGATGTAAGAATTTCAAAAGACAAATGCAGTCATCAAATGAAAAAAAAGGTTTTAAACTTTGTACTTCGTTAAGGCCATGTAAATATTACTATTTCTATTAATGATTTTTTTATTCTGTTACTTGATTAGATACATAGTCAGTCAGGTCACACATTAATTGTACGGAACATTTGTCTTGTAAATTAGCAAACCTTTCCAAAGTAGCAATTGTTTCATAAAACAATGTAGGTGTATTCAACCCATTCAACAACTTAAAAAAAAATAAATATAATAAAATTGTCAAATTTTACTATTTCTATTGAATCAAATGTAGTTCATTATCCCAGGATACCCATGTCAATGTTTGTATAGCGCACGTGCGTAATTTCGATCACTGATTGTGATGTACCTGATTATGTAATATGACATAATACTACACACCTGTCAGTAGATCAATCCCAGTGAGATTAGCTGTCCGTGTATACACAGTAAACATAATTTCAGATATCCATTTGTTTCAGACGAATTAAACATAATAAATCAAATTAATTTTGTCT